TGAATTTTATAACATGGGAGCCAGAATCCAACTATTCTGAATGGAAGCTGAGGTGGTGCAAAACCTAAATATTCGGCAGACCACATTTGTGTGTCATACAAATGAAGGATTGGTCACACCTGCTTTGGAGATTAATAGCTCAAAGAAGACAATTCTCTACCTCATAGTTTTAAGCATTTTACTCATTTAACTAATTAGCATACATTACATTTAACTGGTTGAAGGTTGCTGGATCTCAGACATAAGCTTTCTCCTCTTTGCTTTCTACATCAGGAAGACGATTCCTGCCTGCCCTGTTTTTCTAGAAAGAGTCCATGGACAACTGAAGGTTTGTGAAAGCAGTGAAGTTTTACTGAGATAAGGACTGTTTTTTATTCAGGCTCTTTTGAGACCAAGTTAAGAGAAACACAGCAAAATTAGAAGAAATAGTTTCAAAGAATTTAATGTCTACTGAACATCACTTAGAGATGAGGGAGCTCACAGTCCATTGAGCCAGCTGGGAGGCCCTCCAGCACAAACATGGAAAGTAAGATCTGATAGCCCTGATATTCCTTAGGCAAAACACAAACAAAGAGCCATCCCTTTAAGAGACCTCCAACCCATAAGCCTCAATGAACATCAACACATGGTGGTGACCACACTGTGAATAGCATGCCCAGCACCACAGACCTGAGCTGACCCCAAAAGCTGGCTCTCACTAACCATGGATCAAAACAGAACCCAGGGAGGAGACATGTCTTACCTGTTGGCCTGACAGCCGCAGGTCCAGCTGGCACAGTCATTTGTGGTGGGTTTGGAGCAGTTTTGGGAGCTTCCCCAACTACCTCTGGCTCATCTAGATTAAGGAAAGGAAAACAAAGCTCATTTCAGCTGCATGCAGAGGAAGAGAGGGTAAAACTAAGCCCAGTGGTGATAACCAGTAGTGACATGTGCAACCTGGAGGCAGGGAATTATGGGGAAGGTTTTCCTTGATGAATAGAAACAGGTTTCTCTGGGATCTGCTTAAGCCAAGACGCAATAAAAAAGCCAATTTCTTTTAGGGAACAGATTGCAACCTTTGTTGCCCCTGCTTGTTGCTCCTGGCACCATCACTGTTTCATTCAGGCAGCTTCCCATGTACCATATTGCTTAGTCATAGAGGTGCACCAATACATCAGTCCAATATCGGATCGGTAACGATATAAAGAAAACTGGCTGTATCAGATATCAGCCCGATGAGGCTGATCGTTTGGCAGATAAATGCCCATGATGCACGCAGGTGCAGCGCAGCTCTCAGGCAGCAAGGAGCAGACAGCAGTGGTAAGTCTGGTGTGATGGAAGGGGAGGGGGCAGGGAAGGGGCATGGGGGGGCAGAACAATGCCCCCCACAGTGAGGGAGGGGGCAGGCACTGCCTAGATGGGGGGAGGAGGGGACAGCAGAGCTGCGGCTTGTGGTGGGGGGGAGGAGGCAGCTCCTGCTGCTGTTTGCACCCCGGGAGGGAATGCGGGGGGCATGTGCCCCCCCAGATCTGCACATGGGAGGGTGGGTTGCAGCTGGGACTGGGCTCAAAATGGGCACCGGCACCACTGGGAGGGCACTCAACCCCAAATTTCACCACCGCTGCACTCCCAGCACCACCACTGCCAGCCACCCAGAACAGCCCCAGCTCAATGCCCCACTTCCACCCATGCCAGAAAGAGCTGGGGCTGCACCAGGCAGCTGACAGCGGCAGGAGTGGAGCAGCAGTGAAATTGGAGTGGATGAAGCAACCTCCCAGCACTACCAGTGACTGCTCCGAACCCACCCTGCTCCAGGGGTCACATGCCCCTCCACACCCCCGTGCCCTCCAGAGGTACAAGCAGCGGTGGAAGCCGCCTCCTCCCCCCACCAGCCTGAGCAGCGCCTGCCCCCTCCCTCACTGTGGGGGGTGTTAATCTGCCCCCTCCCACACCTCTTCTACCACACTGGACTTACCAGCCAGAGGCAGCTGTATTGGAAATCAGATCAGTATTGGCCATTATGCCTCCTTAAATATCTGCTATCAGTATCAGCCCCAAAAATCTCTATTGGCACACCCCTACTTAGTCACCCATTGAACAGGAAATCCTCAGATTTTAGTGAAAGCACTGCACTGCTGTGCAGGAACCCAGAGCTCCACCTCATCATGAAAAATCCTAGCCATCAGTTCCTGGCACTTTGTGGACATAACTGCTTATGCTCCAAATTACATGGAAGCTGAGGCTGCAAACTGAACCACTCTGTTACTGCACTTTAAACTCTAGAAGGGCACTGACACAATACATTTTACTGAGAGAACTTTGAAATCTACATGCAAGACCAAGCAGCAAAGCTCACTTCCCCAGCTATGTAAAGATCTTTGCTTCCTTTCTGTCCAGTGCTGGCTCCTATACCAATGACTCACCAGGGACAGAGGGCAGTAGGAGCTCAAGAGCAACAATAGCGTATTTATTACATTACTAACACATATGACTGTAAAGTATTACGGCAGTCTTCTTGAAACTGCTGGCTCTGAGGGAGGGATTGATTTTGAAGTAAGAGCAAATGCAGTAACCTCTACTACGGAAATGACAAAAATATCTACCTAGGAATCTCAGGGGAAACCACAGACTGCTTTGCTAAGTGATGTGTGCCACGTGGCCCTCATGCTCATGAGCTTCCTGCTCTCAGAAACCCACTGGCACAGAACAAAGGCACTTGATTCAATGTGTTACTTCAAACTAAGGCTCGTTTGTAAGTGCCAAAGGGCAGAATATGTGGAAATTAAATGCACACCTGACTCCATCAAGGGCTAGGTCAGCGGTTCCTGAACGGGGTTGCAACATCAGTGGATGGGGTCATGGGGGTGAGGGGCTGTGGGCTGGGAGTAAGGGGCCATGCTAAGGAAATGGGGCCACAAATAGCATCATGCTGAGGAAGAATTTGGGAAGCACTGGGTTAGGTTCTAGGAATATACTCAAAGAACATAATAAGAGACTTCCTCAGACAAGAAAACAAATACCAGGCGATGTATACGCCAACAACTGACAAAGCTTTTGCTCCCAAACTACAGGCATCTGCCAAACTCCAGAACAACTTGCCAGCCCTACATGGAAAATCCAATCAAACCAGTACCCGCACAACAGAGGCTCCCAAAAGGGTCCTCTCTAGGAAGCTGCCACTACTCAAGGCTTGCAGTTTCACCTGGGAAGAGCAGAAATGCAATATGCTGGCAGCCCTCATGAGAAACGCAGGCACAAAGGTGTTTCAGAGAAGCTGCGCAGAGCCAACAAGTCCCTCAGGCCTCCGGCCCAGAAAAATGAGAGAACAAATAAAATCCACCATAAAGCTCCCAAAGGCGCCCAGCCCCAGGAAGGAAACCTAGACCCAGCGCTGCGGGTAGATATCCCCG